GGGTGCTCAGCCCACCGGGAAAGCAGCTGGTGCTCAGGCACCCGGGAGGGCCAGGCTTTTAATTCCCCGGGACGCAGCAGCGCCCAGGGACCCGCTGCAGCCCAAGCACAGCCATCCCCTGGCAGGGCAGGGCGAGAGGAAGCTCCAGATTTATAATTACTAATAATTGCAGCTTAACCAAGCTCCAAAATAACCAGCAGTAAGCAACCACCTGCCCTGCTGGGCCTTTTTCCTGGTACGCCCCCCGTGCAACGCACCCTGCAGAGCTGCTGCCCACTGCTGTCCCCTGCTACAGCACAGGGGGGTCTCAGGTCCCCGCACAGGCTGGGGGCAACACCGGAAACACGCACCCCCCCCAAAGCCGGACTGGCGGCACAGTGAGGTGCCAGGCAGGGCAGGATGGCTCCTGCTCCCATCCCCTCCCGCCTGGCACCGTGCTGGCCCGAGGACGTGCACATCTGCCCTTTCTCCATCACCAAACCATCGTTCCTGCCTCTGCTAAACCCCTTTTGCCGTGCCTGAGCCAGACCTGGGCTTTATGTGTCTCGTCAGGCTCTTTCACCGGCCAAAACCCAGCTCCACCGGCATCTGCCGGACACCGGTGCTGCGTGCTCAGCCCTGCTGCCTCCAGCCCCGCCGGGCAGCTTGCCCAGCCGTGTGATTTACACCTCCGTGTAGGTGATCTTCGCAATGCCCCCACCCAGCTTAAGCCCCACTGTACCCCCAAATGCCTTGTCCCACCCCGCTGCGCTGCTGCCGGCACAGGGCCATTGCCCCAAAGCACCCTCCGCACAGACTCAGCCCACACATCAGCTTTGTGGCTTTTAATTTAAAATAAGAGGCTTATCCACAAGAAGAAAAGGAGAAAAAAAAATAAAAAAAGGCAGGTTTGGCCATGGGGTGTCCCCACCCCAAGTGACTGCTGTTGCTTTTGCGTTGCCCTGACGCAGTGTTGCAGCCAGGAGGGTTGGGGACACGGCCAGGCGATGCGGCGCCAGCAGTGACAAGCTAACGGGGACGGGCAGGGACAGCCACGCACTTTCACAGCCCCCCTGTAGTGTTGCTGGTCCGGATGGGCAACGAAATCCCCTGAAATGCCATGCGCCCACCCTCCTCAGCCTCACGGGAGCATTGCTACCCGAAGGTGGGGGTGAGATGGGCGCTGGGAGGTGGCGGGGTGCACGGGGGCCCCCTCTATCCCCCCCGGCCCTTGCCAACGGCTCTGGCTCCAGCACTGGCAAAACTCCCGGGGTCCCACTGGCCAGACCCCCTCGTTTCAGCACCCTTTTCCTCCACCTCCCTCACTCCGTCTCCTTGGACTGCTTGGCTCGTTGCTTGCGGAGCTTAACGAAGGCCTGAGCTTCTTTGTCCCCCTTCCTGGACTCCAGCAGCCGGAGGATCTCGTCTCCTGCCAGAGAGGAGGGGAGCGATGGTGGGAGATGCTCACCGCAGCCCCACGCCCTGGGGCCTGGGGGGGGGGCCTCATCCTGGCTGTGGCACCACGCCCCGGGGGGGTTGGGGGGGG